AATGCCACCATGCATATAAAGCTGGACGAATGCACAAAAACTAATCCCATAAGACTACAATGGGGAGTAAGACAAGGAGACACCATCTCTCCCAAACTATTTACCCTTGCTCTAGAAGATATTTTTAAGAAACTGGAATGGAACAATAAGGGTATCAACGTCGACGGATCATACTTAAACCATTTGAGATTCGCAGATGACATAGTTTTAATAGCCGATAATATCCAAGAACTAAATGATATGTTACAACAATTAAATGCAGTTTCAGGAGCGGTAGGCTTAAAAATGAATTACAGCAAAACAAAAATACTGAGCCGAGACCAGACAAATATAACAATACAAAATCATACCATAGAAAATGTGGAACATTATGTATATCTAGGTCATGTTATCAAACTAGGAAAACCAAATCAAGATGCTGAAATTAAAAGAAGAACACAACTGGCTTGGGGCGCTTTCGGCAAACTAGCACATATCTTGAAAAACACCTCCATTCCTATAAACTTAAAGAAAAAGGTGTATAACACATGCATACTACCTGTTTGTACCTACGGCTTGGAGACAGTAGCACTTACCAAAAAATCTGCCAAAAAATTAGAAACAACGCAAAGAGCAATGGAACGAATCATGCTTGGAATATCACTAAGAGACAAGATTAGAAACACCGAGATACGACGTAGAACGAAGATTAGGGATATTGTGGAAGAAATTACAAAAATGAAATGGCGCTGAGTAGGTCACGTAGCCCGATATAATGACAACAGGTGGACACGGAGAATTCTACAATGGTGACCAAGGACGACAACAAGAAGCATGGGAAGACCTCAAAAAAGATGGGTAGATGACATAAGAGCAGTGGCAGGCAAAGAGTGGATTAGATTGGCGCAAGATAGAGAAAGATGGAAGCAATTGGGAGAGACCTACATTCAAGAGTGGATGGAAAATGGTTGACAAAGAAGAAGATACCAGAATTGTCGCCAACATCCACTAATTGGATAGGGCACCATAAGATGAAGAAATATTTCGAGGACTTGGTTTATTTGCTTTAGAATGAAGGCGTTGCTTATTTAAAAAATCGTTTGAATCAGTGTTTTTATGAGATAAGAGGATGAGATAAGAGAGCAATGAAGAAAAAAATGTTAGTAAAACATCAAAAATAGATTTATAAAAATAAACCTAATATATCTATGACAACATGAAGTTAATATGAACAATAATTTTTAATAAGATTATAAATTATTAATTAAAGTAAAACACATTTTTGGGCAAAAAGCAAGGACAGACATTTATATATCCTTAATACACTTAATTGTAAAGCTTAAAATAGACCCATAAAATAAGACATTAATTAAAAAGCTTTAACGTGTTATTATATAAACATAACAAATAATAATAAATGTACTGATATGATAAGGTCAAAATTAATTTACCAGATTTTATTGAAAATTATTACCGGTAATAAAACTTTATAATATCTCAAACAATACGCTCCTAAATCCTGCTTTATTAGTAAATTATTAACAATAACTCTTGATGCAAAAACCACATTATCGAAACCTATAAATGGTTAACACTGAATTGTAATAGTCATTTAAAACCTACGTTTCATTCAGGCATTTTTCTGATTTTATAAAAAATTTCCAAAAAGTTAAATTTGTAATATTTTATTATTTGTAGATATAACTTTTATCTCCAAATTGTATTAACTTGTTTCTTTTAGTACGTTAATTTCTGATTAAATTATATCTAACCTAAGCAATGTAAATAGCTGTCGTGATGTAATATTAGTGTAGATATTTTTTTGTTAATTGATTATCTCACAAGGGGCTTTGTGAAAAGTAACAACCCAATATTGGTCATGAAAATTTGTAAAAAAAGCCTTTTTCGTGACACTCCGGCATCTAACAACTGCTTTTGATAACTTAGCTTAAAAATTAAAGGTGGAGACGGGTAAATTGTATGGAGATATTTCAGTTAAAAGAATTTAACTAAATAAGTATATAGAATTGTTTAAAATTAGAGTTTCTAAATAGTGGAGCGCCTGGGGGTTTTCACCTCGGATTAGAGTTACAGTGAATGAATCATGGACGTATAAACACAGATGGACTCAGTTATTTACATAAAATTGTGAAGTCAAAATTATTTGAATATGTCACATTCTCAGCACCTCCAACTGTTGTCACGTTTTTTTATTAAAAATTCTTATTCGCGAGTCGCTGAAAATATTACTCCGTATTTTATACTCTACAGGTGCTATCAAACCAAAATAATAATTTATTGGTTATATTAATATATCTAATTGTATTCAAAATATCAAGTGTGCACATAGTGTGCATTATCATTTAATAATAGCGTATAATAGATATCAATAAATTATTTTATATTTAGAAGCACTGAAAACTATTTATAAATGGCAACGGTTGTTTACATTTATCTGTTTTACGGTTCTACGTCAAACTTCAAATGCTATTCCATGTTTGTTTACAACGATTGAGGAAATAAGGAAAAATTGTTTTTAGATAATTTTGGCTGTATTTTGATGATATTTGTGAAAAGTGAAATAAAATAAACGAAATATTTACATCCCGGTCTTTCATTTCATTTGTAAGTACATAAAATATACATTATTTAAGATGAGGAAATGAAAAAGCGTGTTTGTTTACATTTTAATAGGCGTACCATTGGGTTTATTCACGTTCATTAATGTATTCAATAAGATATAATAAAATTGTATTTTAATTTTTCTATAAAGACGTAATTTGTTAATAGTTAAATTCTCGTTTTTTTTTTAATTCTTTGAACGTGTTTTTATACATTATTACTAGGTACTTCCAATTTTTAAAATCTGAATAATTACCCGCGAGTAAAAATTCAAGCACGCTTATACTCATTGCGGAAGCATCACATTCTATCGAAGCTTCAAAACATTGTGTGTTAAAGGTATCTTATTGCTGTGTCCATCTATGTTTATACGTCCATGGAATGAATTAATATGATCGATGTGGGATATTGTTTTTAAAACTATAAATTGCAATGTTTACCCAAAATTTTTTTGTGCAATCTATTTTTTTATTGTTTAAAACAAATTATTATAAAAAATTAGTGTTTGACCATATATTTTCACTTTAAATAGTATTTTTTTTATTTATATGGTAAATCTTACCTGAGTAGACATATAGGAAAATTTCTCAAAGATACCTGTATAAAAATAGCAGTAGGGATCTCGAACAGTTAGGAAAACGTGGAGGGGAGAGCGGAGCGATAGCTGCTATGTACAATGGAAATTCTCAGCTAGTTTAATTATAAATGAAACGTACTCTATTGTGTACATTTAAAAAATAAGGTAATTAATTACGACTAATAAAAAGAATAAAAATTATTAGTACCAAATCTGTTTATTTAAAAATATTACATTGTTGTCTACATCAAATAATATTTTCTTCTACTTCATCTATCTGTATAATAGGTAAAGAGTTGATACAACTATTTCCGCTGCACTGTAAACATGCTACTGTGCTGTATATCACCACTTTTTCGGCATCCACATCCCTTTTTGCAATTACAAAATAACATTTGCAATTAATTATCCGGAGCTGGTAATTGATTCATTGTTATTGGGATGTACATGTTATTGGAATACTTCCATCCCCAATTTGCAATAACTACGTCATTTCCTAGCCATATCTGAATTTGTAGGTACACTCTTTTAAGGTGCTCAAACGCTGCGTCAGTTGTTGCATCAATAGGTTGATATTGAAATCAGCATTATCATGCACAGAAGCCTAAAGAATGACATATATTTATTAGTTTTTTAGAGCCAAATTTCCTATGAAACATCACAGCCAAAGTAATATGAAGTAGCGATAAAAAAGATACTGGTCGTACAGCTGATATAATTGCTATATAATTGGACAGCAAGAAAAACTAATGAAGAAGTACTAAGGAGCGTCAACAAAGACAGAGAACTGCTAAAGACTGTTAAACATCGAAAAATGTCTTATCTGGGACATATAGTAAGGGGAAGTCGATATAAAATTTTACAACTGATCCTTAAAGGCAAAATAGAGGGCAGTAAAAGTGTATGAAGAAAACAAGTTTTCTTGGTTAAAAAACATTCGTGAATGGACTCAGATACCAAATGCAGGACAATTATTCCATATTGCAGAAGATCGAGAAGCCTTCGCAATGGTGATCGCCAACGTCGAATAAATCTGATATGGCACGCGAAGAAGAAGAAGATCGATTTACATTTCTTCTCATATCTAGGAATTGTTTCTGCATTATTTTTCTTATTTTTTAATATCATTTCAGATAGTTGGAACAAATTTAAAGATGTTGGAATTGATTCATCAACATCTTGAAGCATTTGGTCACTTGACGTATAATTTTCATTATAGTACACTTGGGCTCTTACATCTCTCCGAATAATTTCGCTCGCCGCTTTCAGAATAATAAATTCTCTCTTTTTCTTTACTATTATATTTTTAATTGTACCAATTTTCTGTTAATACAACATGGTTAATTTTTTTAAAACATATAATGGTATTGGACCCAAATTTAGTTGAAAAGATAATATCGTAAAATCGATCTATTCATCGTTTTTTAATAGTTTCTTCGTCCGGGATATGATCTGTAGTGATGACGTTTTTCAACTCTTGCATGGTAAATTGGCAATCATCATCCTCTTCTATGTACTTGTATATTTGCTTCATTGCTGCATCTACCATTGAAATTTTTGGATTAATTTTCTTTTCAACATTACTAAGGTGAATTGAATTTTTCAGCAAATTATAACAATCCGAATGATATTTTGCTGCAAGTGTCTGCAAGTCGGTTATACCAGAAATCCTTTTATGGATATTTCGATAATAATCAGTGTTCTGGACGGCTACAAAATTCGTGATGGATTCATTTAGCTTTATTTAATTTTGCTTCTTTTGTTTTATTAGCTTCTTGTCCGCAAATAAAACAGTTTTTTTTCCAATTGAAGTTATTGAAATTCATGCTACTTCGAAGTTTTTTTTTTTCGGAGGCGTTAATGAGAGATTTTCACGGAGCTTATTATTATACACTCCAATATACTTTTTATTAATATATTTTTGTCGACAACTTAAATGAGCATAAACAAATTCAGTTTGTAGGTGAGGTAACAATCCATCTTGTCGTTCGGTTGAAGCAGCTTTTAAAGAGGTTACTCCTCTACAAATTTTTATAACTTCACCTAAATTTGAATATGTTTTGGAAGATAAACCCAGGTGTATACATATTATGCAGCTATTTTCATCAGCCATGCTGCTAGCTGTTGGTTTATCCATTGTTCGAAATCTAAAAAAATTAATATGTAACTAATTGCATTTGATTCAATATTATCATATATTTTTTTTATTAAAACTGATCTTTAATTTTCGATTTATTTATTATTTAATTAATTCAATAATGAACTGTAGTAATCAATCTAATCACTTACCAAATTAAGCAATACGAAATAATTTGTAATAGTTCAATATAAAAACGTCGTCTTCAATACACCTACCAGTACAAAAATAAACAAGAATTTTTCACTAAAAAACCAAATTTTCAATGTTATTCACAATATTCACAGAAAACGTGTTACTTGCAACTAAACTAGCTGAGAATTTCCATTGTACATAGCAGCTATCGCTCCGCTCTCACCTCCACGTTTTCCTAACTGTTCGAGATCCCTATTGCTATTTTTATACAGGAATCTTTGAAAAATCTTCCTATATGTCTACTCAGATAAGATTTAACATATAAATAAAAAAAATACTGTTTAAAGTGAAAATATATGGTCAAACATTAATTTTTGATATTAATTTGTTTAAACAATAAAAAAATACGTCAAATAAACGTCAAAGTTTTAAATACACATTTTAAATTTCCTCACGGATTTTAAAGATTTAAACAGTATTAAACAGATAAATTAATCCACCGACGAGTTAAAAATACGAAGAAATTCCCACTCAGGTAGCCTACGAGTAAACATTACCGTGCCTTATCGGTAATAATCGATTTCTACCAGTTTACGAACCAGTAACAATTATGTGAAAATTCGAATTATTTTGTGTGTTATGGAAACAGCAATTATCATTGAACTATAATATTATTATATTCAACTGACCGAAAACTGCAGATACAGGTAACTGTTATATCACTATTTTTTACCCACAGTGTCCTACTAGGACGTCTGTTCCAATATTAAAAATTAAGTGAAGTGTTTTTGGTATCCAGGAACACTCACAATAATGAACCCAAATCCAAAACTCATAACTCCACAAGTCCACCCCACAAAATCATATGTCGCTGCTACTTTATCCAAACCTCCACCTCCTACTTTCCCACGGAAGGAGCAAGCCATTTTAATACACGCTATTCCAAATACTGTTTTATTTGACTATGTTAAAGCTATAGGAGACATTGTAATCCCAAAAAATATTACCTTTGCATCACGTATCCCAAATAACCGCATCTGTATTTATCTTTCCTCGCCTACAGTTGTTGATAACCTTCTAAAAACACATCAAAATATCTCTATCAACTCTACAGTAGTTCCCATCAGAAGACTTATCACCCCAGCTAAACGCCTTCTTATATCTAACGTATCTCCTTCAATTCCACATTCCATAATTGAGAAAGCCCTTAAAGATATTGGATTACAGCTGGTCTCTCCTGTGTCATTTGTGAAATGTGGTGCACTCGGAGAAGGTTATGCACACATAATGAGCTTCCGAAGAGTAACGTATATTATCCCCGATAAGGAGAACTTTTCACTAGATAGTAACTTCGTTATTACATACGAAAACACTCCTTATAGAATATTTATTTCTACGGATAAATTGCATTGTTTTTTATGTAAAGAGGTCGGACATACCGCTGACTCATGTACCAATAATACAACTACTTTTTCTCAAACTGAACTACCCCATCTAGAGCCCTCTTCATCTGAAACTACTGATATAATTTCTGACGTAAGCACTCCTGATCAATTAGACCTAACTACCCCAAACTGCACAGAAACCCCTACTGACATAGATACTGAAACTATACTCCCATCAATTCCACCCACAAAAAGACAAAAAAGAGCTATATCAACAGACAGCAATTCTGATATTCCTTCTCTTTTATCTTCAGCAAGTACACCCGAACCACCGTCTAACCAAATGTTTCCTCCGTTATCCACAAAAACAAACACTGTCTCCAAACCTCACAAGAAAAAAACAAAAACTACAAAATCAGAGGAACATATTCTAACAGCTAGTTCACTACAATCCGTAGCGGCCATTTATGAAAATAATCCATCTGGTCTAACTTTGACCGAGACTCAGTTTATTGCTTTCCTAGAAAATACACATGGTAATCCTAGTCCACTTAATGAAGCTTTTGTGTTTACTTCAAATATTGAAGGACTCTTACACGACATAACAGTTCTCCATTCAGAAACTAAGGAAAGATCCCTTAAAAATCGACTTACCAGACTTCAAAAGAAAATCAAAAGACAGCTAAACTCAGATGACTCTGATAATATCAGCGTCTCATCTGAACTTCTAACCGATAATGAAACCAATACCCTCCTCTCCCAACAGCCAGAACAACCATCTCAGTTGACCCTTTCCCCTTCAACTCAAGCTTCACCTTCAATTTAATCCAATGGAATTGCGATGGGTTCTTTCCCCGTATTGAAAGAATCCAACAACTAGTGACAGAAAAACAACCTGATATCATATGTCTACAAGAAACAAACTCAAAAATATCTAAGCTTCCCACATTAAAAAAGTTCGAAGGATACCATTATATCAGAACTAATTGTAACAGAGCCAGTGGTGGGACATCTATTTTTATTTCCAGTGAAATATATTCATCCCATCTCCTCATCACCACGGAACTCGAGGCTATAGCCGTAACTACTTGGTGTCCAAATAAACTTACGATATGCAGTGTATACATTCCTCCTAACTACCCTCTTCAAGAAATCGAAATTCTAAATCTTATCTATCAGCTCCCCGCTCCATATATTCTAGTAGGTGACTTCAATGCTCATAACTTTATGTGGGGGTCAAACCACACTAATAGCAAAGGTAAAACTATAGAAAACGTTATCAATTGCACAGGCTCCTGTCTACTAAATACAGGCTCTAATACGCATTTGAACTTTTCCTCTGGCACATTTTCGGCTATAGATCTTAGTTTTAGCGACCCAAAAACATATACTTCACTATCTTGGAAAACTTCAGATGATCTTTATGACAGCAACCACTTTCCAATATTTGTATCATCTGATAGCTCCAACCATGAACAAACTATAACCAGAAACTTCTGGCGACTAAAAAATGCCGACTGGAATGACTATACTTCACAAACAGATAACACCTTACCTTTTCTATCCCTATCCGACAATATTAACAATAATCTATTATTAATCACCGATTCCATACTTAAAGCTGCAAATTTGCACATAGGCAAAAATAATATTTCACATAAAAGAAAGGCAGTACCTTGGTGGAATACATCTTGCCAAACCGCAACAGAACAACAAAAATTAGCTCTTAAAAATTACCGTAAAAACAAAAATCTGGAGAATCTCATTGAACTAAAGAAAACCAGAGCCAAAGCCCGATTTATTATAAAACAAAGTAAAAAATCATCTTGGAGAGAATATGTATCTTCCATTAATTCAAGAACCAATCCGGTGGATCTTTGGAAAAAGATTAGACAAATCCAAGGAAACAACACCAACCTCAAAATCTCTAGCATTGCTGTAAATAGCACTACAATCACTGACAATCAAGAAATCGGCGAAACCTTAGCAAAGCACTTCGACAATAAATTTAAAAGTAAAATAGATACCTCCTTACGAAATCCATTACCTAACGCCCCACCTTGTTCCTCACCCGATACAATAATGGACATCACACATCTTAATTCTCCCTTTCTTTTTGAAGAACTAGTATCAGTTATTCAAACCTGTAAAAACAATGCCGCTGGTCCTGACGACATTCCTTACATATTTATCAAAAAGCTCTCCAATTGTAGCCTACTCAAAATACTTGAGATGTATAATTTAATCTGGTCATCTAACCAATTTCCCAAACAATGGCAAACCTCTATCGTAATACCCATTAAAAAGCCTAACCTAGATCGTTCCTTGGCCAACTCTTATAGGCCTATATCACTAACTTGTACGATGTGCAAAATATTTGAAAAAATGATTAATAAAAGACTTCTATGGTTCATTGAAAAACATAAGATATTCGCTAGTGAACAGTCAGGATTTCGTCGAAACCGTTCAACCCAAGACAACCTTGTAATCCTCCAAACTCATATATCAGAAGCCTTAAACAAAAAACAAGAAGTCGTAGCTGCCATATTTGATATTGAAGGTGCTTTTGATACTATAAGTAGGCAATGTTTAATAAACAAACTTATCCTTCTTAATATTAATGGTAATATATTTAACTTCATACAAAATTTTCTATCTTCTAGATCGTTCAGAGTCTCTGTCAACGGTATTTTATCTTCTACTTATACTCAAACTGATGGCGTACCTCAGGGATCGGTACTAAGTCCTACACTTTTTAATCTAGCAATAAGTGATTTATGCTCTCATCTCATTTCCCCTATTAAACAAATCATGTATGCTGATGATCTAGTAATTTACTGTCATGGACAAAACTCTTTTACCACCTCGAAGCTTATTCAAGCTGCTGTTGACACACTTTTAAAAAAAACTAGTGACATGGGGTTATCTTTATCCTATGTAAAATCTAAAATTATAAACTTTAGTAGACGTCCCCCTTCTCCATCTCCACTTATTTTGATTAACAATGTCCCTATTCCTGTTGTTAAACAATGCAAAATTCTCGGATTAACGTTTGACGCACGACTAACTTGGAAGCAACATATATTTGCAATAAAAGGAGAAACGTGCAAAAGACTAAACATAATAAAAACTTTATCACATCATTATTGGGGATCTGACGAAAACTCACTTCTTAAAATATACAGATCACTAATACGTTCCAAGCTAGATTATGGTTGTCACATATATATATCCGCCTCCAAAACATATATTAACCTTCTAAACTCAATTCACAACACAGCCCTTCGTCTTTGTATTGGCGCTTTTCGATCTAGTCCTATAGATAATCTTTATTGCGAAGCTAACGAACCTCCTCTTTATATAAGACGAAAACAACTGCTACTCTCTTATGCAGCATCGGTATCAGCTAACCCCTCTAATCCAGTGCATCCCTTATTTGTAATGTCCACATACAATTTACACAATACCAATTCCTTACCACCAATAAAAC